GTTTATCAAATACACAACAAAACTCTCAAATCTGAAAACATACCATGTCTTTTTTCTAACTAGATAACTAACCCTTAGCCTTTAGCACTGCTAGAACTTGGCTGACATACTGCTGACATATGTCATCAACTGGTTCCAATTGCATCATGCATGACATGTAGGAGATTTGGAGAAAAATCACTGAGCCAATTGTATGCAGAATTTTATGAAGTTTGGTTTAGAAGTTAAGCGAATCAGATATGTTCCTTTTTTTTACATATTTACAGTTCAGACCTTTGTTATACAAAAACCTAATGCTGCCATTTTTTGTCAATCAAAATGTTGTTTTAATTAAAATGTCTCTTTTGTTCAATTACTTTCTTGTTGCTTTGATTATTTTATCATTGCCGTAATAATTTCTCTGAGTATATACCAAAACATGTGTATGTTGCTGCATATTAATATCGTCAATGTTTTGTTTCATCATCATTTCACTTGTTTGATAAACACTAAGCAATTAAGTTAACCAGTATCTATCTGGACATCCTCCCACCTTTCCCTTTCTCTGTGGTATTCAGTCTGTATCTGCTTAATGAAGCGCTTACTACTACTAGGGTTGACGGGCGGAGGGGTAGCCTAGTGGTTTAAGCGTTCGCTTGTCATAGCTAAAAACTAAACTCACTCACTACTAGTGCTGACCCTCATTTAACTCATAGACAGTGGCAGTCACTCCCATTCAATTTTCAGCCATGTTACGAGATTACAGTTTTCTGAATACTCAAGGCTCCATCTTTATAGAACTATTTCTATTCTACGTTAAAGCAAACTTAATTTAATGACTATAGATTGTTATATTGTATATTGCATTGATTAGAAACTAACATATACTACTCACACTTTGCTAAGGATTACAAAAATTCCCAACTATACTTACACATAGATTTATAATTTGAAATTGTATACATTTAAAACTGGATAAATAATAATATAGTAACCCTTCTTTAGGCAAACAGCTACTTTAGTCTAACCTTATGCACTTGATACATGAGTAACCATAAAAATGGTTTTAATGGCACCAATCAACCATTTTGCAAATCATGGAACGAGTCATTTACAAACAAACAACACCTGTCAATACCAGGTATGGGATCCACAAGATGAAATGACATACTGAAACCTAGGATCCATGCTTACAATAAGCTTAGATATTTAAACCAAATTTGATCCCAAATTATAGTTTTCTGTTGAATCAATGATTTAATTCATAGCAAAGCGTGAATAGTATATTTAGGCCACAAGTCCTCATAATGATAACAAATTAGCTAAATCTTAAAATGGCAAATGTTTACTTGTCCTAATAAAACCTTAAGTTGGGGAGTTGGGTAAAGATTATAGGACTAGAAGCTGAGTGATGATACTCACTGTACCTTGATGTTTTAGCATAATTTTGAAAACTTTGTTATATTTCAGAAACGGAGACCATTCAGTCATTGCTACAGATTTCCAAGCACGAATGCTCTTATGTTCAGCTGAGAACAAAAATGATGAACAAGCAGAAAATACAGCAGCAAAGGACAAGGAAGAGATGGCACACATTTTAAGAATGAAATTAACTTAATACATATTCAGATCATTTCTAAGGGATGTTACATTTGGGAATTCACTTTCCCAGTATAGTACAGATACTAGTACTTTGCTGGTGGGGGTGGAGTGAATCCCTTGTGTGATTTGAACCCACCCTCTCAGAGTGAAACACCTTATCACAGAACAACATTGTTAGCAATTTAACCTGACAAATGTTAGTCAAAGTCTCGATCAGAGAAGTGTAAATGCCACTATTACACTTTTTTGTGAAGTTATGCAAATAAGAATGTCAAAACTATTTGATTTAATAAATAGTAATTATTAAACTTACAATTTTTTCTTGTTCCTATCATTGGTTCGCACTGGGGTGGAATGTGGCTCCATTTCAAATGGTGAAGTCTCCGAAGCTGATTTGGAAAAAATAGGGGCGTGGGGTGGTAGCACTTGCGGATCTAGTGCGGTGATGGGCTGTGTTTAGATGGTATTCAAACCAGACATCAGGCAAATATCAGTGTAAGAGCCCACGTTTATTCAGGAGTCGTCCAGTATGCCTCAGTGTATGATAAGAAAACGGGAATAGTCCCGACTGGCTCAAAATGGGCTTTGTTTAGGTGGTATTTAGACCAGACATTTGGCAAATATCCGTGTCGGTGCCCCAGTTTATTCAGGAGTCGTCTGGTATGCCTCAATGTACGACAAGAGAACGAGAATAGTCCCGACTGGCTAACAATGGGCTCTGTTTAGATGGTATTCAGACCAAACATCAGGCAAATATCAGTGTCGGAGCCCTAGTTTATTCAGGAGTCGTCTGGTATGCCTAAGTGTATGATAAGAATACTGGAATAGTCCTGAATGGCTCAAAATGGGCTGCGTTTAAATGGTATTCAGACCAGACATTATGCAAATATCAGCGTCGGAGCCCTAGTTTATTCAGGAGTCGTCTGGTATGCCTCAGTGTATGATAGGAGAACGAGAATAGTCCCGACTGGCTCAAAATGGGCTGTGTTCAAATGATATTTAGAACTGAAATTAGGCAAATATCAGTGTCGGAGCCCCAATTTATTCAGGAGTCGTCTGGTATGCCTCATTGTACGACAAGAAAACGAGGATAGTCCTGACTGGCTCAAAATGGGCTCTGTTTAGATGGTATTCAGACCAGACAACATGCAAATATCCGTGTCGGAGCCCCAGTTTATTCAGGAGTCGTCTGGTATGCCTCAGTGTATGATAAGAATACGGGAATAGTCCTGACTGGCTCAAAATAGGCTGTGTTTAAATGGTATTCAGACCAGACAATTGGCAAATACCAGTGTCGGAGCCCCCAGTTTATTCAGGAGTCGTCTGGTATGCCTCAGTGTATGATAAGAATACTGGAATAGTCCCGACTGGCTCAAAATAGGCTGTGTTTAAATGGTATTCAGACCAGACATTTGGCAAATATCAGTGTCGGAGCCCCCAGTTTATTCAGGAGTCGTCTGGTATGCCTCAGTGTATGATAAGAATACGGGAATAATCCCGACACGCTCAAAATGGGCTGTGGTTAGATGGTATTCAGACTTCATCAACCTTCGCTCATCTCTTCATTGTGATCAGTCATTAGAATTAGTTTCAACAAATCCATATTTGAAGACGAAAGTTAATGATGTTACTTTATCTAGTTAAAAAGACGTTTTTCATATCTGGACTTTGCAATCCAGTTTTTAATTTTACTCAAAAGGTAAAAAAAGAATGTTTATATCAACTGCAGTTATATCCTGTGTCTCCCCGATGTTCTAACTTCGGTCCGCATTAGTCGCAACAATCACTATCATTTTACATCTACTCACGCCTCGAATTGAAGTGTATTTGGCAGGAAATGGATACGTATATTGCATACATATTTGTTTTCGCTAAAAGTAATATTTCTTGCAGTTGGACTATTACATGTCAACGAAGTGTTTTCGCGGTGGAATAAGCGAGATCGCGCGAAACCTTATCGGTGACAGGTCAAATTGTTCCTTGCATAAATCCTATCCAGCAAAACACCATAGTGCGTGCTCTCGCATAACCTCAGTTATGATTATAGATACTTTACATTTATAGAGCAAAGCCTGCAATTAAAACGAAACAATATATTTCTTATAGAAACACAACATAATTTCTGATACTAGATTTTTTTCGATCACTCCATTAGAATTCATCGCGTGGTAATATTGGATAAATTTTAACTAAATCACCGGTAGATCTCGGGGGAAAGTGTACACAGCTGATTGCCATTTCCGACGGTGTATACGAGGCAAATGCACACGCTAATCCTAATCCCTACACATAATACAATGCTTAGCAAAACCAAATTAGAACTAAAAAGATAAATAAAATTGTCTAATAATTTTTAATTGAAAATTTGATGTCTTTACTGACAAAATCGTCTTCGTTCACGGGAAGCGATACAATGCCGTTTTCTTACCACCCCCACCCCACCCCTCTATTTCCTATAGAAGTTTTCAGTGTTTGAGTATGGGAATATTTGATATTTAGTTGTTGGTTAATCTTAACATATCCTTAAAACTTAATCCTTAGCAAACCTCGAATGGTAAACAACGGACACTAATATGAAGCAAGGGCACATCGGCGCTTGAGTGGGAAACAATAATTGCAAGTTATGCCAAATGATAAATGTCTGTTACAGCATAATATTCTTAGAAATATTACAAGTAATCATAATCTCAGTATTAATTCTAACTAGCCTGATTTGTTTGACTGCATCATATTTGAGAAAATTAAGCACAAAACTATGAATTGATTGTATGTGCGATGTTAAAGATCTGAAACAAGAAAGTCAGTTTCATGCACACAGATATGAAATATAATTTCCTCGGCGCGCAAGACATAAACAACCAAAGGGCGACATATATGAAATAAGCAGCCATGGAAATGTATATAGTATATTGTATTAAACAGCAACCATTGGGCGACATATATATATATGTATATTACATAAGCGACCATTGGGCGACATATATATACGACCTTTGGGCGACAGTCGCCTAAAGGTCGCATATATATATGTACGCCGTACACTTTACCTTTGGGCCACACGGTATCGGCGACATCAAAAATATATTCTCTATTTGTATATATCTACAAGGTTTTATCCCCTTTTAATGTTTAATTATAAAAAATTAAAAATTAAAATATAAAAAATCAATGTCCGTTTGTAATATATGGCAATGTCGCCCAAAGGTCGCAGCTTATAGTACTGTCGCCCAAAGGTCGGATTTGCCCTTATATATATATATATATATATATGTCAAATGCCAGGAAACACAGTTTCTATTGTTAAGTAGGCCATATCTTCAAGCAAATGTGGAGATACATGTAGACTCTATACTTCTGTTATATCAATCATTAGGACATGCTCTAAAAGTGAAAACAATTGAATATTGTGGACTACATACCTTCATGTTCCTTGGCATATCCACTCTCAGTCTGTTGATCATGAACGTCAGACAACGATGATGCACTCCCGGGAGTTGAATCTGTAAATAATGTAGTCAGATAACATGAGTCTTACCTGACAGGGAAACAAACAAAACTCCAACTCTCTACACGCCGCCATTTCTATTATCCCGGGTAACCACCAGTGGTCAATTAACGGATCACCAATGGCGAGTTAACCACGCCCCCAAAAGTAAGGGATATAACTCTCAAAGGGTCCGTCAACATAGCTGTCAAAACCAGCTGTCAAAATTGCAATCGTGATATCGTTCCGAGACATTCCCGATGGTACTGGTCCGAAATATTTGCCTTATGGACCTACTTTGTGGCAAAAACAACGTGAAGTGGCTTTTTGTTCGGCTTCATACCTTCATTTCGTTACTTTCCATTCATGTTGTGAAATATCGTGTCGATTTGCGGGAGGATATATAGAAGTCAACGGAATACAGAAGCTCCCCATGTAATCAACTTTTCCCTTGACAGAATTAAAAAATGAGTAGTACTTGTAATAACTTCGGGTGCCTTTCCAATATATGGCATTAATCTGTTGGGGTTTTATAAGCGAGAGAGAGAGAAAAAAAAGTTTATTCAGTAGTATTTAGGCCATAAGGCCTATGATACAGTTGACAAATACAATATAAATTACACGTGATCATAAACATTTTGAGTTTCTTTTTGATCTTAATTTTGAATATCTCATTGAGAGAGATAGCTGTTAGATGCTGTACATTACTATTTTGTGACACGAAAATTGCCTGAATGGTTAGTGGGCCTCTGTAGACTGATTGTAGCTTCTGTAGATATAGAGTTCTGGCTTGATTATACTTGTCACAAACGAAATACATGGTTCTCATCTTCTTTAAGGTTATGATTACAAAGTTCAAAGATGGGGTTGATTGCCGTCGTATCTTTATTGGTTCTTAGCTTGTTTATCTTGAAGTTTGTTAGTGAAGCTCTACATGTGAAGTAGACTCTTATCAGTTGTTTGTTCCTGATGTTCGTGATATATGATTCTCTTTCCAGTGAAAACTTGAACGAAGCGTAGTGGGTAAGGAAACTTGAACTGTTTATCTCATGATGCCAGTTTTGGTGTGATATATCTTTGAGGCGCTGTTTTAAACATGATAACACATTGTTTACATATCCGACATCCTGTGCGATCCATGCATGTGAGAATCCTATCTTGAACAATGTTTCTCTAATATCAGAAGTCCAGTTTCTTTTTCCTACATCATCGAGTGATTAAAGCATTCGGTAACACTGGTGTGCGTGGCGATCGGTTGTCATTTGTAGAACTTTTATCAAGTACTTGATGGCCTTTATTTGTGTTGATATATAAATCAAATGTCTTCCAGTGTCGCCAAGAATTGCCTTGTTTGAAGCAAATTTTGCAACTTTGAGATGGTGTTTAAAGTAGTTTGACTGAACTTTTTCAACTGAAGCTGAATACTTGCATCCCCATACTTCTGCTCCATAGAGGAGTATTGGTAAAACTTTAGTGTCAATTGTACATGCAGTTGAAAACGTTATTTCTTTATTTTTCTGTAGGAATCTATTTGCGAGGCATGCCTTACTAGCTTGCTGTGCGAGAGTGTCACATGCTTTTGTCCATACTAGTTGTGATGAGAAGATAAGTCCAAGGTATTTGTAAAGGTGACGGTTTTGATAGGCAGTCCTTTATAAGTCCATTTTTCATTCTGTGCTAGTTTTCCACCATTTCTAAAAACTATAATCTTGGATTTATTAAACTTCAGTTGTAATCCTGATTCTGAGCAGTAGGATTCCAGTGTGTTAAGCTGTCTCTGTAAGCCGAGGATGGTAAACGAAAATAACACAACGTCATCTGCAAAAAGTAGGAGCGTCAAGTCTTCAATATCTTGGGTGACGAATATTCCATTTGTACATCATCTATACATGGCTGTTTCAAGTTCATATATATATAATATAAATAACACTGGACTGAGAATGCAGCCTTGTCGAACCCCTGCAGATGTTGAGAATATTTCAGTTGGGTTTCCTTGCACCTTCACACACGCCTTGATCGATGAATACATGTTCTTCAGAAGAGTAATGACTTTTCCATGACATCCTTTTTGAAGCAGAAGAGTTAACATTCGTTTCCTGTCCACAAGATCGAAGGCCTTTCAGAAGTCTATTAAACAACAATACTATCTACCCTTTTGTTTACAAAGATATTTTGAGCATAGTGATTGAAGCGTGAATAGGTGATCTGCTGTAGAATATCCGGGACAGAATCCAGCTTGACTCTCTGATATAAGTTCGTTTGTTTCAACCCATCGTCTTAACCTGTTTTTTAACCTGTTTTTGTTTTCTTCAATAGATCGTCAATAGCCTGCGTAACAAAATCACTATGTTTTAATGCTGACTGGTTGTTAGAAATTGACATAGGAGGTGGACAATTGACGAATGGAATCTTGTAACCATGTTGTGTAAGATCAATGACAAATTGAGAAGCTTTGATATCTTTCCAAAATTTAACATTGCTTTTGAGACGTCCCCTTACAACAATTTCAGACGTGCCTTGTTCATATTCATAATAGTCATCAGTGAGCTTTATAGGACATACATCATCAACAAAACCGTCATTTGAGAAATACTCAACTGACAAGTCTTGACAGGAACTACTTGTTTCCCTGGGTGTTGGAAGTTGACGCTCCGGCTGACAAACTCGAATTAAAGGGACACTCTCTCCTGAAGTGGCCGAAGTCTCCGCATGTGAAACATGATCCAGGCTCCCCGCTTTTCCCGCGAAAAAGATGACTAGTGCTAGGCTGGTGAAGCACAGGAGTAGTTTGGTGAAGGACACTTTGCATGGGCTGAGACATCGTTGTCGGTCTCTGGGTTGACCTACTCGGGTATGGAGCACCTCTTCCACGCTTCTGGCGTAATTTACGCAACGCTTTGTTATCTGCCATCGTGATTTTCCGGTCATCATCGGAAACGTTTGCCACGTAATTCCTCACTGTCTGCCACCCACCTTCAGACGAATCAGCTATTTTGATGAGTTTGTTTCTTTTAAGGATTCTTTCCAACTCTGACGTTACTAACGTTTCACTTTCCTCAAAACGTTTACCCCGAATGGCGGCCAACACTTCTTTTAAAGCATCCGCAGTTTCTTCGTTAAAACTGAACTGAATTTTGTTACCTTCACGACGCCAGGTGTAATCTTTTTCTGCTTTCAGACTCTTAATGTCTTTAGATGTCTGAACGAATTCTTCCCTCAAAGCCCCAAATCGTTCGTCGAGGGCGGATTCAAACGTGGCTTTATTTCTCTCTAGTTGTGACAAAATTGCGTCTAATTTTTCGTCAGAATTCATGTTAAATGCTGAAAGGCCGGGAGTGCACTAATCGAGAATGCCAATTTCAAATATCTACACCCTTATATACTCCCATAACACGCCACCTACCGGGCAGATAACCCATGTGAACGCTTCATACCGCTAGGAGAAGATAATTTCCCTCTAATTCATACTTCAAACGATAGAAATAATATTTCCGGTGGCAGGGGAAATGTGCAGCCACTTGTCGTTGAGACATTCCGCCACGGACCATCCCAATGGCCGCATGACGTTGTGCAGACGTGAGCCTTGGCATGCTATGCGTTTCAATAGCCGTTTAATTTTTTGAACGATCGCAAGGGCAGGGGTTGAGCTTTCCAAAGTGACAGTGTTGTGTGGCATTCATTTGCTCTGTTTCTCTTTCCCGGAATGCACCTGCAACAACGTATTGCGCGTCTCAAGGATGAACCCACTGACGTCACGGAACGTGGCACGTGCATGCATATTGGATACATGTCACTAATCTCTGAGTTTAAATCCTTATGTGTCTAAAAAAATTATTTTAAATTTTTGTATGCACAGTTTCTTTATGTGCTTAGTATAGATAGGGTGTCAAAAATTGCGCCCGTTCGTTTATTGAAATATGGTAGACATACATTATTGTCATCCACTGATGAACTAGATGCTCATTCAGTCTTTCAGCTTTTTCACAGTCAGAATAACAAGATGGACTTTCATGATCATCATTAGATTTAAGACGGGGTATGCATGTATTTGTGCTGGACTGCTTTACCAGATACCGTAGTAGCTTCAATATGATCTTTTGCTTTCAGCATATGTATCTAGGAGAAAGCTGTCTACATTAGCAAACACGTTTTCCTTTGCATAATATTTCATGTTATTGACTTTTTGACGTTGCTTTTTGAAGTTTGTAATATCAGATAACAGCGTTGTTCTTTTTGCCTTTCTGCTCAACCTGTCCCTTTTCCTGCATTCTCGTCTTAGACCTGAATCGAACCAATGCTTGTCATTTGGCCTAATAGTGACTTTCTTTGTAGGGATACATGTTTTGAGAAATATGTTCAATTTCTGGTAAAATATTTCACATGCTTGATTTACATTCTAACAATTTACAAACAATTTAGTCCAATCTGATTCACTGATAAGTGCATTTAAGGATGTATAATCACCTTGGCTGTAACATAATATGTCTCTGGTATATGCCATTTGTGTATTAACTGCCTTTGTGATCACTTATCGATCCGTCGAATTAAATAACTCCACAATCATCAATTCTGTCTACATCTTCGCTGATTATAATTGGATCAAGCAAAGTACTAGAATATTGTGTTACCCTAGTAGGTTCTGTTACAATATTTTTCAAACACTTATTTAACATGAATCTTTAAGGTGATTACCTCTACAAGACAGAAGGTCAGCATTCAGATCACCTATTATAGTAATTCGACTAGTAACATCTAGAGCATTTTCCATACTTACGTCTAATCGTTCCCAGAATTCTGGAGAATTATACTCGGGTCTGTACGCTAAACAAATGATTATTGGTTTTACAGATAGGTAATTTTTTATCCAGATAGTTTCATCATGAACGTTTTCTAAGTTTTGCATTCTCGTAAATGCTAATGTATTTCTTATGTAAATCATAATACCTCCCCCAAATGAGTTTCTGTCTTTACGAAAAGGGTCATGGTAAACTGTCCACTTCATTGAAAAATCATCGGTGTGTTCGTCTAAATGTGTTTCTGTGAAACCAACGATGTTGTAATCGGAAACGTACTCGCTAAGATATTCCAGTTTATTTCTTATGCTTCTGGTCTTAAGGTGAAATGGGGATTGGATTGGACTCGATGCCGCCAGCAAGCTGGAGTAACAATAGCGAGATTTCCTGAGGTTCCTCGCCATCTTAAACAGCTTGCTCCTATACTGTGTTAGGTCTTCATTAATGAAAACGTTCTCCATCATTGAGCGAAGTTTCCTCCTGTGGGTATACATCCCGTCCTTGTCCTGGTGACTCACAACTTTCACAATAATCTGACGACTCCCGCCTTGAACTCTCCTTCCAACTCGGTGACATCTGTCGATATCAGAGATCGTGTTGATCTTCTTAGGGACACCCAACGTCACCTTCCGATTTTTGCACACCACTTATCCTGAGCGAATTCTTTCTACTGTATTGTTCCAATTCGTCGGTTTTCCTGTGCAATTCCTCCGTCGTTTTTTCCAGTTTCTCTCGTAGCGTAGATATCTCCTCTTTCATGGGCTGTATCACAGTGTCGAGTGTACTTGTGATGATATACTTTGCAATTTGTTTGAATGCTTTTTGAAATTTAACTTGTAGCTTTAGTAGTATCAACGCTTCCGACAGCTTCGTCGTCAATACTTCGACTGACACTTCGTTTATAAAGTTGAATATAGTTGACGGGTACGAGATGTTTGGGCTAGCTGTTCCTGACGCCGTTTCATCGGCTTTGGCTGAGATTTCGGTGTACTTATGAAAGTGAAGACGTCAGGCATTGTGGGCTGTAGGAGAGGTTTAGACGACTTAGTCGGTAGTGAGTCTGTTGGTGATCCTGACGGTTTGCGTTTCTCACTTGAACGCCTCACTGCTGAGGCCTTCCCATTTCGCTTTAAATTCCTTTCTCTGGCAGACATATCAGATTTCTGCTGTAATAAACGTTGACGTGATGTTTGTTTCAATAGTAAGTGCCTGTGCTGGGCCTCACTGAGGATAATTTACGAAGATATATCCACACAAGCGAGAGCGATTTTAAATAAGTCTTGCCACATCCGCCATCTTGGATCTTGGATCAAGTCTTGGACATCAAGTAATTATTAATCCTTATCTTGAATTAAATAAGGCATAAAATTGGTCAAGAAGCAGCACACAAACCAAATTTGATTTACTGAGGAAAACAAACTTAAATGCAATTTTTTTACCAACAATTTTGAATTTGTTTACCTTTCCAATGGCATTTTTGACCACCACTCTGTGTGTTGCAATTTTCACTGTTTCTGCCACATCAGACAAACACATCTGACCTTCACCTGGTGCACAAGGGGGGATGATGAGACGTAATCCAGTGGCCCTGATTTCCTTTTCAATATCAGAGCCCCTGTCTGCCATCACACCATCCCCCCACTCTAAGTTTCCCACATTTAATATTTTCTCTGAGGATGGAGAGATAACCACTTTTTACAGTTAATTCTTTGTCTGATATCGCCCCAGAAAACAGCATTGATATGAATGTAATTGAACCTCTTGGGTCCACACCATTGAGACCTTTCAGGGTAGTACTTGGTTTGTAATCTGAATATGCTTGACTTGGACTTGTCAGTGAAGAGGGTCTCTGATTTCTATTTCTGTTCCATCAATGATACTGAAAGTTTTTGGAAATTCCTGGCGAAATTGTGAAGGCATAACATCACGGTGAGGCCAAATTGACGCATATCCAAACCTGTAATATATGTATTTTATCCAATTTGAAAACGCAGTACTGCAATCTTTGGGTGATATCAGAAACAGCTTTGAGAGATGTTTAAAATCAAAATTCTGTCTAAGTTTCATCAGAACAAGTAAATGCTCCACTTCAAGACCCATACACTTCAAACTGCTAACTGTTCTGGTAAATTGAAAAGGTTCATCATCAGCATGGCCAGGGACAACAAATTTAAATATTTAGAGAATACACATCATGCCTAAGATTTTTTGCACTAATTTTGGTGTCGATCTGCTGGGCACGCATGACCTTCTCCTTTTCCAGGATCAGTTTGGCCATATCTTCTTTGAGTTGCTTGTTCTCTGCAGCTAGAGCCAGCATATCCAGTGACAAGGGACCTGTAAAAACAATTACAACTGTTTCAAACAATAATACATTCTACAGAGAAGTAATCATCTGGCTAGTTTAGGGCACCAAACTCATTATTAGGCCTGAAACAGACTAACTTATTATCAATCTGACCTATTGTAATGTTTGATAAATGCTTTGCACACAAAAGAATAAGTTAAGAATGAACACTTAGCATCCACAACATACGTGTTTCAATTTGAGATTTAAGAAAATGAAACATCCTTATTACCTCCCTTGTATAAAACTAAGTATAAATAAACAGGCTTCTTCTCTTTACAGGCACCCCTAATTAGACCAATAGTGGCTCCAAAGATGGAGGACAGGTGCGGAGATGTCACATTTCCAAAAGATGACAACTTACCCGAACTGGATGCAATTCCAGCTTTAAAACATCAGTGGACAGATTTAGAACTTTCAGTTGACGAGTCCCATAATTTAGAAAAAACTACAAGATCTCAAAGCAAGTAGTACAAAGCGAGGAAAGGGAGTATTACTGCTTCAAACTTTGGTCTGCTTTTGACTCGCAAGAAACAAATCAATGACACATTTATCAGAAACACCTTTGACAAAAAGAAATTTCCCTCCGATCCAACAACTTATTGGAATTCTTATGAGAAAAAAGCTAAACAAATGGACATGAAAAAAAATCAAAATCATCTTCATGACACTGGCTTTGTTGTAAACCCATCTATTCCACTTATAGGAGCACCCCTGATGCTATAGTGTGTGACACTTCTGTTTCTGGTATTGTGGAAATTAAGTGTCCTTATGCTGTAAGGGACTTGACCATGAATGAAGCCTCTTGTACGACTAACTTCTTTTTGAAAAAAGAAGGCAAATATTACAACTTAACGAGAGGTGATAGGCATTGGTATCAGGTACAGGGCCAACTACTTGTAACTGGGGCACCATTTTGTGACTTTGTAACCTACACCAGACAAGACTTTAACATTGAACGGATACATCCAGATAGGAATACCTTTAGGACTCTGCTTGAAACTCTGTCACAAACATATGTCAATCACTTCAAATCATAGTTTGCAAGGAAACAAACTTAAAAAAAAATTACCCATGGTGTCACGTTGTTGGACAAGAATATCAGATTCATGCTGCATGGTTGTAGGCTCTGGATGTTCAATATCCATCTGATTTCGTGAATCAGAAATACCAGTACTGTGATTACATCTGAAAAAGAAGAGAAAGAGAAACTTATCTTATATCTGGCCATCAAATGTATTACAACCTTTATTAAATGGTTTCCCTCTTTGTCGATTACCTACCACTTCTTGATTACCTGTCGGTACTAGTTATGTCTGGATTAAATTTTCTATGTGTTTATTGCTATTACAATTCGGCGATAAATAACTTCTGGCTTCACTTGTTAAGTTCCCACAGTTGAGATCTTATGACTGTTGTTGTTTCACACGTAATATTGCCATCTGCTTCCTGGTTTTATTCGTCTCCCAGCTGATGAAGGAGTAAGAATATATTCTGAAACACTGTGCCCGTCGGGGAAATGACCAGTATGAATGGACTAGTTGTATGTGTATATTGGACCATCTGATTCATACATTATCTATATATTTGAGAAGTCACCTTTTCTGTATGAAATATTAGTAATCTCTGGATGGGGGACTAATGGCTGTGTCTGGCCATGTCATGTATTTCAAAATCTATAAACATGCAAATTAATTTTGTATTTATACATATTAAAAAGAACCACTGTTGTGGCTGATCTCAGTGGTTACAGCAAATGTCCATGTTGATGTATTAATATTTATAATGGATTGTAATCCATACTTTGAATCCCTCAGAGTTATTGTGCATCATCACTCAATATTATGGGACCTGGCTGAAACACAGTTTTGTCTGGAGCAACTAGATTTTTATGTCAGTATGCACCTGCATCATGCTTATATGAATATTACTTGAGTATGACTGTGATCTTGTGATGCATGTGATACTTTTGTCTTTTCTTAATTACAATTTGTAACATTACCATTACTATCTTTCTGTGATTCTCTCAGAATAAACAAGGATTTGTTTGATTTTTATGTTTCAATGGTTTTGTCGTGATTTGTGAGCAGTAAGTATAAAGGCAACAATGTTTTACCTGTGTGTTTCAAGAAGAACTTTCCTTTTTTAAGTCGCCCAATAATGGCAAGCGAGGTTTGGGTCGTGATCTTACTGTCTTTGGATTTTCATTTTGTTCATGAGGAGTCCGGAAATGTCTTGGAGGGTTTTCCATCAACAAAGTGCTGTAAATAAACTCGCATTTATTAGTCTATACAAACAACACTGATGTATCTGAAATCGTATGATCGAACACAGACATCGTCTGTCTGTCCTTAACATACCAATAACTGAATCAGTGAAAATCTGTGTACACTGGTTATGTAAAAAACTTAAAAGCACTGTAAGATCTACCAAGTCAAAGATATCTAAATTTACATTAACGTCAACATCAGTTAAGATGTTATTCAATTTTAGTTTCCATACCTTTGTGCATACGAAGAAATATTTTCTTCGGCTGTGGTCACGAAGTATGTCCATGTTCAGTTGATATTTGGGGCGACCACACAAACGTATCCATCGTTGACATTTGTCAAAATTTCTGGCAGGCTTGGGGAATGGAATAAAGGTGATACCACCTGCAAGTCGTTCCGGGTACCGCGTGTCCGAGTTGCAGGTACCCTAGCTACACCTTTTCACCATGATCAAAAAGTTGACTGTAAACGTCGATTTATTTTTGAAAAGTCCACCAGACCACTGATGTCGGACAAAATGGTGGTCGGCTGTCAGCTGACTTCAGCGCGATACGGATTGAGTAATTTGACGTTCCTCATTGGTCAGGTCATTGGTTTGATTGACAAGTGGCGATACGTTAATTAGCTTCCACGGCTGACATACTGGTTTTCGGAATTCTCAAATGTGATCTGATTCTACTTACAAGAACCTTTCCCATTCCAAACTCGTATATGTGTGCAAATGTGTATGTACAATTATCGCTTTTAGCAATATTCCAGCAATATCACGGCGGGGGACTCCGGAAATGGGCTTCACACCATGTGGGGAATGTCAATGCGAGAATATATAATGCACCCAGATTCTCTCAAGTTACAGAATTGGGTATTTTGTCTCACAGAATCACAAGAGGATTTGGGACAACTGATTGCTAGTTATGAATGCACAATGCCATTTAGAAAGTGGTAAAATGTAAAACATGTTATATTTGGGATTACGATTTCTCAGTAAAGTATAGGTTCTAGTATTTTTGTTGGGTTGAGTCCCATTCGGGATTCGAATTGTCACACTCAGAGTCAGGCACCTAATCGCTAGCACACAAAGTCAGCCGCCTAACAATGGAAGTCGGACAACTGATAGTCTAGCCCACGGACTTTGTGTACCCCTCTGATAAGTGATTGCTAGTTCCGGCATAGTTTACGAGAACATACAGTGATCGTTACATTTGTGTATAAAACTATGCCTAGCAGAACTAAAAATACAATTAAAGTGGCAAACCATCATTTTACCTTTGATTGACCAACTTTATTATCGCTTGTTTGTTACCTGTGCATAATAATGACGTTTAGCAATAGAGTCACATATGTAGGTTTGGCTGTGGCTTTTTATTGTATATATTGTGTTGTGATTACAGCTTCTCATTCTTCGATTCTCTGGTAGGTGTCGCTTCGTGCAAGGGAGCCTAGTGCCGAACATAGCTCAAACCAGTCGAAATGATTGTCCAAGATGAGCAAATTTTGATTCCGCAAAGAAAGAGCCAACCAATGTTTTAATACTTGAAAACATGGATGACTTTTCACCTTTTAAATATATACACATGGAAAAGGAGGGTAATCTTAACACCCCATATGTGTCAATATGTCCCCATTAACCATTGCTATCCTCAAGTAATTCCATACGTGTCAATAACTGAACACAGTACAGGATGTAACCTCCACCAACTGCAATAGCATCCCTAACCCTCGTCATCGCTGACTCTATGAGACTTTCAATTTGACTTTGGGGTATAAGCTCCATTCAGCTTGTATACTGGAGGATTTACGTGGCATATTCTTCAACCATCAATGTCCCAAACATACTCAATAGGATTGAGAACTGAACTCCTGGCTGTAGACTCTCTACCGCCTCTTGACGTACACCTCCACTGGTACGTGCACGATGTGGCTTGCATTGTGGTCCGTTGATATGGGCCTTGTCATCGAAATGTGGTACAACAACCATGTTTAGGATGTCAGTGATGTATTGTTGTCCATTCACATTTTGTCTGATCGTCAAACGGTCATGTTTACAGTCACGTGAGACTCACTCCAACACAATTGGCCCCTGCCAAACGGTACATGCTCCAAGATATTCGGTTGTATAAAAATTCTAGCTACTTTGTGCTTTTTGGATGACGACGGACGCCTGATAAGTCGTCTTGCAATAGCCCTCAATGACATAGCAGCATTCCGCATACCAATAACGTACCATCTTTGAGCAGTTGTCAGTTGAGGAGGCTCAATATTCGATTATCAGCAACGAAATCATTTGATTTTCCGGGTTATCGAGCTATTACACTTCACTGGAACTTGATCTTTGGATATTTCCAAAAGACCAAAAGACGTTACAATACATGTATGGTACTTGTTTGACCCTGCCTGGCGCTCTGCATTAATGGGTACAACAAGGACTGGTCGGCTCGGAGTCAGTATAATATGTCTGAGTGGGGTATTCATGCTTCACTGCGGCATAGTATCTCAGTGGGCTAGCACTATAAATCCAGCTTAAGTGCTAGTACAAGCAGCCACACATACATATAAACACGCATGCACGTCGTCATATGAGCGAAAATTCTCAAGCACGACGTAAAACCCCATTTCACCTCACCTTACATTGCATGTGATCCTTGCCTTTGGTCTTAGCACGTGCATATCGAAACCTAATGTGTGCTACGCCCGAAGGGTCAAAATAAATCCTTAACACAAAAAAAATTTTATATGAATATATGTGGTTAAGTGTACGTTAAAACCATTGGTGTTGCAATACAGTCTTCCTTGTTTGTAGTTTTCTAACAAGCTTATGGCATTTTACGTAGACGTGATAAAGAAGAGTTTTATAAACAGTCACTTTGTACGCCTACTCACGGTATCCACTAGTTTCAGTCAAGGAAGGCGAATTTGATCTCATCCACAGCAACATTCGGGTTTCTGGAAACAAAATTCAAACACTGTATTCCAACATTTTGCCTAAAAACCAATGTCCTTTCCAGTATCAATGCATCGAGAATTGACAGACTTTATGGATAACAACTTCTATATTACTACATTATCTGTATCGAAACGTCGCCGATTCTAAATGAATTCAATGCATCGAGGGTCACGGGTGCTACTGCCACAAATTATTATGTATCGTTGTATCCCATGGGCACATAAAACAATGACTGCCAGCTTTCCATCCACACTTACCTGTCACCATATACCCCCCTTTCATATAACTGCAGCTTTCCACACACAATGACCTGTCACCATATACCACACTGTGATATCACTGAAGCTTTCCAAACACACTGACCGGTCACCATATACCACGCTCTGATATTACTGGAGCTTTCCGCCCACATTGACCTGTCACCGTTCACCACACTGTGATATTTTGCTGGAGATTTCCACCCTCACTGACCTGTCACCATGTACAACACTGTGATATTATTAGAGCTTTTCATCCACACTGACCTGTCACCATATACCACACTGTGATATTACTGGAGCTTTCCACTCTTTGACCTGACACCATATACCACACTGTGATATTACTAGAGATTTCCACCCACACTGACCTGTCACCATATACCAAGCTGTGATATAACTGGAGTTTTCCACCCACACTGACCTGTCACCATATACCACACTGTGATATTATTAGAGCTTTCGACACTCATTGACCTGTCACCATATACCACGCTCTGATACTACTGAGAAAGCTCGAGTAATATTTACAGCGTGGAATATGGTGACAGGTCAGTGTGGATGAAAGCTCTAATAATATCACAGTGTGGAATATGGTGACAGGTCTGTGAGCTTGGAAAGCTCCAGTTATATTAGAGCGTTGTATGTGGTGACAGGTCAGCGGGTGTGGAAAGCTCCAGTAATATCACAGCGTGGTATATGGTGACAGGTCAGTGTGGGTGGAAAGCTCCAGTTATATTACAGCTTGGTATATGGTGACAGGTCAATGTGGGTGGAAAGCTCTAATAATATCACTGTGGGGTATATGGTGACAGGTCAGTGTGGGTGGAAAAGTCCAGTAATATCACAGCTTGTTAAATGGTGACAGGTCAGTGTGGGTGGAAATCTCTAGTAATATCACAGTGTGGTATATGGTGACAGGTCAGTGTGGTTGGAGAACTCCAGTAATATCACAGTGTGGTATATGGTGACAGGTCAAGTGGGCGGAAAGCTCGAGTAACATCAGAGCGTGGTATATGGTGACACTTCAGTGTGTGTGGAAAATTCCAGTAATATCACAGTGTAGAATATGGTGACAGGTGAATGTGTGTGGAAAGCTCCAATAATATCACAGCGTGGTATATGGTGACAGGTCAGTGTGGGTGGAAAACTCCAGTAATATCAAAGCTTGGTATATGGTGACAGGTCAGTGTGGGTGGACATCTCTAGTAATATCACAGTGTGGGTATATGGTGACAGGTCAGTGTGGTTGGAGAACTCCAGTAATATCACAGAGTGGTATATGATGACAGGTCAGTGTTGGTGAAAATCTCCAGTAATATCACAGCGTGGTATATGGTGACAGGTCAGTGTGTGTGGAAAATTCCAGTAATATCACGGTATAGAATATGGTGACAGGTGAATGTGTGTGGAAAGCTCCAATAATATCACAGCGTGGTATATGGTGACAGGTCAGTGTGGGTGGAAAACTCCAGTAATATCACAGTGTGGTATATGGTGACAGGTCAGTGTGGTTGGAGAACTCCAGTAATATCACAGCGTGGTATATGGTGACAGATCATTTTGGATGGAAAGCTCTAATAATATCAGAGTGTGGTACATGGAGACCGTTCAGTGTGCGTGGAAATCTCCTGTAATATCACAGTGTGGTATGTGGTGACAGGTCAAGTGGGCGGAAAGCTCCAGTAACATCAGAGCGTGGTATATGGTGACAGGTCAGTGTGTGTGGAAAGCTCTAGTAATATGACAGCATATGGTATATGGTTACATGTCAATCAGTGTGTGTGGAAAGCTCCAGTAATATAACAGCATGGTGTATGGTTACAGGTCAGTGTGAGTGGAAGGCTCCAGCAAAATATCACAGCGTGGTATATGGTGGCTGGTCAGTGTTGGTGAAAATCTCCAGTAATGTCACAACGTGGTATATGATGACAGGTCAGTGTTGGTGAAAATCTCCAGTAATATCACAGTGTGGTATATGGTTACAGCTCAGTGTTTACTGAAAAGCTCCAGTAGTATCAGAGCGTGGTATATGGTGACAGGTCAATGAGTGTCGAAAGCTCTAATAATATCACAGTGTGGTATATGGTGACAGGTCAGTGTGGGTGGAAAACTCCAGTAATATCACAGCTTGGTATATGGTGACAGGTCAGTGTGGGTGGAAATCTCTAGTAATATCACAGTGTGGTATATGGTGTCAGGTCAAAGAGTGGAAAGCTCCAGTAATATCACAGTGTGGTATATGGTGACAGGTCAGTGTGGATGAAAAGCTCTAATAATATCACAGTGTTGTACATGGTGACAGGTCAGTGAGGGTGGAAATCTCCAGCAAAATATCACAGTGTGGTGAACGGTGACAGGTCAATGTGGGCGGAAAGCTCCAGTAATATCAGAGCGTGGTATATGGTGACCGGTCAGTGTGTTTGGAAAGCTTCAGTGATATCACAGTGTGGTATATGGTGACAGGTCAGAGTCGGTGCAAAGCTCCAGTATCATCAGAGCCTGGTATATGGTAACAGTTGAATGCGCGTGGAAAGCTCCAGTAATATCACAGCGTGGTATATGGTGAAAGGTCAGAGTGGTTGGAAAGCTCAAGTAATATCGCAGTGTATGGTGTACACTGACCTGTCATCATATACCACGTTGTGACATTACTGGAGATTTTCACCAACACTGACCAGCCACCATATACCACGCTGTGATATTTTGCTGGAGCCTTCCACTCACACTGACCTGTAACCATACACCATGCTGTTATATTACTGGAGCTTTCCACACACACTGATTGACATGTAACCATATACCATATGCTGTCATATTACTAGAGCTTTTCACCCACACTGACCTGTCACCATATACCACGCTCTGATGTTACTGGAGCTTTCCGCCCACTTGACCTGTCACCACATACCACACTGTGATATTACAGGAGATTTCCACGCACACTGAACGGTCTCCATGTACCACACTCTGATATTATTAGAGCTTTCCATCCAAAATGATCTGTCACCATATACCACGCTGTGATATTACTGGAGTTCTCCAACCACACTGACCTGTCACCATATACCACACTGTGATATTACTGGAGTTTTCCACCCACACTGACCTGTCACCATATACCACGCTGTGATATTATTGGAGCTTTCCACACACATTCACCTGTCACCATATTCTATACCGTGATATTACTGGAATTTTCCACACACTGACCTGTCACCATATACCACGCTGTGATATTACTGGAGATTTTCACCAACACTGACCTGTCATCATATACCACTCTGTGATATTACTGGAGTTCTCCAACCACACTGACCTGTCACCATATACCCACACTGTGATATTACTAGAGATTTCCACCCACACCTGACCTGTCACCATGCCATACCGCTTTGATATTACCGGAGTTTTCCACCCACACTGACCTGTCACCATATACCACGCCAGATATTATTGAGCTTTCCACACACATTCACCTGTCACCATATTCTACACTGTGATATTACTGGAATTTTCCACACACACTGAAGTGTCACCATATACCACGCTCTGATGTTACTCGAGCTTTCCGCCCACTTGACCTGTCACCATATACCACACTGTGATATTACTGGAGTTCTCCAACCACACTGACCTGTCACCATATACCACACTGTGATATTACTAGAGATTTCCACCCACACTGACCTGTCACCATTTAACAAGCTGTGATATTACTGGACTTTTCCACCCACACTGACCTGTCACCATATACCACGCTGTGATATTATTAGAGCTTTCCACAAACATTCACCTGTCACCATATTCTACACTGTGATATTACTGGAATTCTCAACCCACACTGACCTGTCACCATATACCACGCTGTGATATTATTGGAGCTTTCCACACACATTCACCTGTCACCATATTCTACACTGTGATATTACTGGAATTTTCAACCCACACTGACCTGTCACCATATACCACACTGTGATATTACTAGAGATTTCCACCCACACTGACCTGTCACCATTTACCAAGCTGTGATATTACTGGAGTTTTCCACCCACACTGACCTGTCACCATATACCACACTGTGATATTATTGGAGCTTTCCACACACATTCACCTGTCACCATATTCTACACTGTGATATTACTGGAGCTTTCCACTATCACTGACCTGTAACCATATACCACGCTCTGACGTTACTGGGGCTTTCCACCCACTTCACCAGTCACCATACACCACACTGTGATATTACAGCAGATTTCCACTAACACAGAACGGTCTCCATGTACCACACAGTGACATTATTAGAGCTTTCCATAAAAAAAGACCTGTCACCATATACCACGCTGTCATATTACTGGAGCTTTTCACCCACACTGACCTGTCACCATATACCACAGTGTGACATTATTGGAGCTTTCCACACACATTCACCTGTCACCATACACTACACTGTGATATTACTGGAGTTTTCCACACACACTGACCTGTCACCATTTTCCAAACTGTGATATTACTGGAGCTTTCCACCTACATTGAACCTTTAATATATAACACACTGTGATATTACTGGAGCTTACCGCCCTCATTGACCTGTCATCATGTACCACCTTGTGATATTACTGGAGCTTTCAACGCACATTCACCTGTTACCATATACCAGGCTCTGATGATACTGGAGCTTTGCACCGACTCTGACCTCTCACCATATACCACGCTCTGATATTACTGGATCTTTCCACACACA